TTGAGGTTGTTGCATAAGAAAATGCCATCAGCTGAGACTGCTCCATCCCCACTCTGCTCTAGGCTTTATGTCTGTACTGTCCCAGAAGACTGCAACTGTCCCTATGTCTTGCAGATGATGAAGTAGTCACTGACATAGCAGGGACATAGTCCATTGCTTGTTTGAAGATTAGGAGCAAAGCCATCAACCGGCAGTGGAAGATGGCAATGGCATGGAGGCTGTGAATGGAACCAAAAAACAGCCTTGCTCATGGAGAGGGCAAGCAGCTACACCTCATGCAAGCTGGAAACTGTGAGCTGTCTTTCACATGCAGCTTCAGGTTCAACAAATTACCATAACCCAGCATTAAAGTGATAAATGTATGGAATGCCTATAGTGCTCAACCCCAGGGAAGGCGTGGAATTTCTAGTGCCTTGAAAGTAGAAAAAGGATTTAGTCACAGACAAAACCTGGTCACTGAAGATTTGTAATGGGCCAAACTGGATCCCACAACTTCCTGTCATTTTGAATGAGGGTTGTACACTGCAACAGATAGGAGGGATAGCACCCAGGATAATTCTTCAAAGTGTTACCCTCTTCAAACTAGAATTAATTTGATCTGTCTGGGCCAAACATCAGCCATCTCATCTCCAGCCAGAAGTTAATCTCCTGTAGGTACTGGGACATTTTACTCATAGTGGTTGCATCACTAGAGGATAAGATGTGTTTCTAGTTCTCAATCATATAATGTTGACAGCACAGCAGCTCACTCTCTCTCATCTTGTGGATATTGAAAATGGAGTCCCTGAGGCCCTACAGTTTAGGGGTCTCAGGGGAAGAGGATCAGTTCCCCATCAGTATTCAGAGTTCTGATGGGAAGGAAGGACTTGTGCCCTTGAAGTGCTGCATCATCAACTCCTGTTACTACACACAGGTAGGCTAGCAGTATCTTGCAGAAAGATCTGGTAATAGAAGCCCAGAAATATAGTCTGTATTTAGGGCTATAAGAAGGATTGTGTTCATGCTTTTCACTCAACTGAAGCCTTATTCTGAAGTATCCTGGAAGTTAAGACATGCTGTTGAAGCTTGCTATTTACTATTTTCTTTAGTTATTCTGTCGAGGAATGAGAACAACAAAATTTGAGGGAGGATGTCACCAGGGAATGTGAACTCTACTCTTCTTGCATAATGCCAGAGGCCTCTTCTAACATCTTTCTGAAGTCTCTCAGGAGCCAAAAGTTAGGAAGTTTTGCCAAGGAGAGAGAGACAGACTCCTGTAGGTTTGTTATGCCATGTACAAGAGTAAATCTATAACCAAAGCAGGTTTGCTGTTCATTAGCCCCTTTGGAACCCAAATCAGTTCAATAGATCAGTTATCTTGGCCTTGTAGGCCAAGACCACAAAGCAAAATATGGTCAAAAGCAACCCCTACCCTCCTGCTAACAGCAGAACTGAAGAAGGGTTCCTCTTACAAAATTACATTGGCTAAAATGTATCTATGCCATGTAACTCTTTTTGATGTGAAGAGAAATCATCACAAATATCAAAGGTGAAAAAAATCCCTATGCAGAATCATCAAAACATTTTTGAAGGGTAAACAGTGTAGTCCATAAACTTCCTCCATTCCAGCCAGTTTTTGTGGTCAAAGAGCTAAAGCATGCTATTCAAGATGAATGAGTACTATCACATACCTTGTAAAACAAGTGGCTGAGCACAAGCTATCAATATTACAATATTTATGGTGGCATGATGCATATATTTCTTAAATATTGTAACTCTGATGTAGATTAAGCATATTACCTGTGCTATTTTTCTGGTAATAACCCCTACAAAACTTGCCCAATCAACCAGTTTGCAGTCCTGTGGTTTTATGAAATGGAAAAATTCAATTCTACAATTCAAAGAATAATAGAGATGTTTAAAAATATGGAGAAAGTTATAACCTTCTCTAAAAGGATGGAGATGCTATTTTCCTTAGACACACACTTCTGCATTAGAGGTCTGGCTTCATTTTTGGAAGTGCGATATGTACTTTTTTCTCCCTGAAAAATGACTTCACTAAATTTAGCTCTAAGGATGAAATACTAAAACTAAGATGATCAGATATTTGTTTTTTCTGCAAATGATGAATAAGAATTAAATAAAATTTAGATGATGAAAATGACAAAAAAAAGAAGCTAAACATGAAGTTACAGGAGCAGAATACAAAATATGGGAAATTAATGGGAAAGGGAAATAATGAAACAAAATGAGTAATCACAAGAAAAACTGAAATACTATGCACAGACAACTCTTATAAGTGTCATAAAAATCTGACTGTGCACTGAAGTCATCGTTTCTCCCAAAAACACAATCAAATACTGGAGTTACATTAAACAAGGGACAGTTTAAGTATTTCTATTATAAGTATAACGCAAATGGATCTGAGAGACTCCACATAAACCTCCAGCTTCATTACCACTGCCAGAAAACATTGGAAAAAATGGCCAAAGTCATAAGACAGCAATGGACAGTAAGTCAAAAAACAGTTGACTATTTTTAAGAAAAGTATGAAATAGAAAGGCACAGCCAGTACCTTGATTTTGGGCAATATCACAATGACACACGGCTGGCAAGTGGGTACATCATGCACTTGTAAAAGGTGCTGCCACAGAATGTCTCCCTTTTTCTTCAGCTTCCTCTCTTTTTCCTCTAGGTTCTTTCAGCCCAGCTCCCCAAAAGGCCAGAAAAACATAGTTTACGGCATATGCAGTATATAAATTCATGTCATAGCAAATTCTGTTTTAATACAAAGCTCTTGTGCGTGGGTGTGCTTCTATAAAATAAAAGGCATTGTTACTCTGCCAGGTATGAATCCATATCCTGTGATGAAACCAGGACTTAAAATTCTGTTTTGACAGCTACTTGTACAGTTATTTTTCCACCAGAGACTTGATTTTTAAATGAATGCTAGGTGTTTAGTGATATCATCAAAAGATGAATCAAAAATGACATTTGGAGGGAGAGTGAATTAACAGTTGTAAAAAAAGTTCCCCGCTTGAAATGCCTACTATTATATGTTAGCCAGTTGTTTCATCCCCTCCTCTAATTAGACAGTCACAGCTAAAAATCACATTGTATATGGCAATTAATCTTGCCTGTGATGTGCTATTTTGGAATTTATTTTAATTACATGATTAAATTATAACTGAATACACTGAATAAAAGTGAGTTTCCAATTAAAATTTATAAGCTTTCTCTGTATGATGTAAAAATGCCCTGTACAATAGCCATTCTAAGTTATAAAGGCCTACTGAAGAGTTCTTGACCAGGTAAGGCTAGACATCTAATACATGTTATACCTTTAGAAGTTAATTTACTGGAAGTCTCTTCGAACAATAATACTCCTTTTCTCTATACACACTTAAACTACGCAAATAAACTATGCACTAAGAGAAGTGGATGTGTGTAGGGAGACTATGTTCTAACCTCCTCTGAATAATTAGAGGATTTCGGTTTCTTCCATGCAATTGACAGTAGCTCATATTATTAATCACAAAGTCCCATTATTGCATGGTATCAAACTGAAGTTCGGAGAGTACTAAACAATATTATGCTATTAAAACAGGCAGTACACCTGATTTACTAATGATTTCTGTTCTAGGAGAACATGCCGTACACCTGATTTACTAAATTATTTCTATTCTGGGAGACTTTATTTTCCTTTTGATTAGCCATAGCTGTGTTTCTTGGAGCTGTATCCCACACCTCTGCATGCAGCAGAAAACTACTGCTGACAAAGGTTGTTTCCTGCAACTTTCTGGGGTTTTTTTCTCTTTTTGAAAAAGAACTACATCCCTGAAACATCCTTCCATCTCACTTTTACACATTGACAGCATATCCTTGCTTTTAGAAGGGCAATATTTGTGTTTTTATTTGCAGAGGTAAAACAAAATCACTAGAGTTAGAGAACAATAACCAGCAAGGATAAACAGGATTAAGTAACAGGTGTTTGACTACACATAATTCTAAGTCAGGCACAGATTATGCCCAATACTGCTGGCAAAATGGCAACCTCCGTCAACACCTTGGCACAATTAAAAGTTATATTCCATGTAAATTAAACTGACATGCACAGGCACGCACGCACACACCTGCAGTCAATGCAGCAGCCCTGTTTGTATGAAGGAGCCCAGAAAGGTCTCCCAAGGTAGGCTTTCCATGGTTCAAAACAAAAGAAAAAACTAAAAAGTTACGTTAGCTAACGAGATGCATCAGTGGCACACTCTGCATTGCATGGACACAATCCAAATACGGGTTAAAAGCTACAGAGATCCTGCTCAGTTGGCAAGAGAGAGATGAGATGAGAGAGAGAAAAAGACTTTGCTGAATTTAGCTTTAATGATGACATATTAAAACTAAGATCAGAATTAGTCTGTATACACACGCACATTGTATACACATGCACAAACAATACCTCCACACGTACACACACATGCACAATTTATACACACGCACACATTGTATGCATATGCACAATGTACGCACACATACACACAATGCAAACACACACACAATATATGCACACACACAATATAGGCACAGCGTATGCAAACACGCACACACCATGTATGCACAAGTACAATATACAAACACACAATGTATGCAAATATGCAAACGCAATGCATGCGCACACACAGATTTATACACGCACGCACGACTGCATGTGTGCCCCCGCCTGTGTGCGCATACACACCCCTGTGCATGCGCACGTGTGCACAGATGCGCGCGCACACAGGCAGGTACACACGCGTGTGTGCAGATATACGCACGCAGGCATACGTGTATACACACACGCACGCGCGCGGCTGTGCGTGCCTGCGCCTCTGTGCCCGCACGCCCCGCTGCTCGGCCCGGTGCCGCCGAGCGGGCGGGGAGGCAGGGGCAGGAGCAGGAGACCCGCGCTGCGTCTCCCCGCCCCCGCCGGGAAATGCCCCGACCTCGCCGCCCTCCCCGGCGCCCGCAGAGCCGCCGCCGCCTACCTGTGCCCTGCGCCTGCTCCCGCTCCGGCCGCGCGTGTGCGTGTGTGGAGGGCGCTCACCAGGAAACGGCGCTGCTGTGTATGCACCGCATCCCCCCCGCCTCCTCT